AGTTAAATTGTGAATGAATTTGGATTTATATTACAAACTTCAAGAAGCACATATCGAACAACATAATAAAGGACAAACGACCTTATCAACTGACTATACCTGTTTAAGTTGTCACCCAATACCAGAAGATATCCCTAGGAATTTTAGGAATTTTTGGAATTGGATTAGCGCAGAGTTTGGAGCAATCATATTCACTGGAAAAACTGTATCACTATTTGACCAACTATCAGAAAAACTTGCCACTTTAATCTTTCTTGAACAACTACAACTTGATACAACTACAGCAGCATATCAAAAACCATTACAAATTAGAGTTAAAAAATTATTATATAGCTTAGCCTTTATCAACCCTAAAATACTTGGACCAAATTCAGAATTCATAACTTCAAGTATAATTAAAGCGGCAAAAGAATCGAACTTCTCTAAAGAACCAGTCAAAACTCAATTTGATTCAATAGCACCTCTAGTACTAAGTCCTACTCTGACACTAATTGACATCATGACAAGAGAGGATAAAAGTAATAATCAACAAGGCAGATCAAAGCCACCTAACCAAGGACATCGTAGTGGTCTTAAGAACGAATGAAGAGATGAAAATGAAGGCTATGGACTTGAGAATAATAAAGCATTAGACAAAAGTGGTATTGCAGCAATTATTAGACAAATGAGCGACTCATTTAAGGAAATTGCTAAAGAAATCAGGGATGCTCGACCACAAGCATTCCCAAGAGAAACTAATATCATACCAGTATAACCATTTTGGAGAAATGATAGCGAAGTTTCAGAGGAATGGCTTAAGTATTTTGAAACAGCTGCAACAGCGAATAATTGAACACCTGAAAGAAAACGTAGTATTGTTGCAGGATATCTAAAAGGACCAGCAGCATTATGGTATGATAATATAGTAACAAATATTCATTATTGGAATATGCAAGGGCAGGCCAATACAAGCTTTGTCTCTATGTTTAGAGCTCGCTTTATTACAGTCAGGCAAAAACAAATAACAAATGAAAGTGTAGATACTTATAGTGCTAGATTTAATAATCTCAAAAGATTAGTTGATCCAGGTAATCATTTACCAGATGACTATGAAATTAGACTATTTTTGAATGGATTAAAATCTAACATTGCAGAAAGAGTCGCAATGGCAGACCCTGATAATTTAAGAGCAGCTGTTAATGAAGCCAGAGCAACTGAAGCTAAAACATACTACATGAGAGAATCTCCACAAGCTATAAATAATGATGCAATTGAAGCTTTGATAAAACAAATGGAACAACTCTCTCTCAACTATGCAAATATTGTTAATGTATTAGCAACACAGAATGGAACCCCAAGGATTACGAATGTTCTACCTAAAAATACAAATGTTATAAGAAATAATAATGATAGAAAACCTTTTGACAAAAGCCAAATAGTTTGTTGGCGATACGATGAAAAAGGCTATTATTCTAGAGAATGTTTATTTAAAAGATCTTCTAAACTAAAGCAAAGAGATACCAATCTAATTGAAGTTTTTACTGATGACGAAGGGGAAGAAGAAACATCTGAAGTATATGCAGGAGAAAGGTCTCGACCATATACTACTGACAGAAAGAATGTAAGAATACGATAAAGGGAAATGACCAGAACCTCTGAGTCAAATAAAGAAATAAACCTTAGGACTCGTGTTATCAATCCAGTCAAAATGGAAGTGGAATCCACCCCTAAACAAAAACCAATTAAAAGAGCACGAAATCCTTCTAGAGTTGATAACCTTGTACCATATAATATAGCTGATGATATTCTATCAAAACAATTCTCTGCAACTTTAGAACAGTGGTTACAAATACCAGCTCAAAAAAGGAATTTAGCAAATGCTTTAAGACGTCATCTTGTATCGACACCTAATGTCAACTCTTTAGAATTTGTAGATAATGAACATGAAAGGAAATTAACTTCTTGTAAAGCATATATCAGGATTAAAAATAACCCAATTGAAGCTATAATTGATACAGAAGCAGCTGTTAGTATTATTACCAACAAATTAGCTAAAAAGTTGAGACTTAATATTGATAAACCTTCTAAACTAATCGTGACTACAGCAAATGAAAGTCGTGTAAGAGCTTTAGGACAAATTACTAAAGCAAGAATAATTATACAACATGTATCAGTTCCAGTAAAACTTCAAGTGATTGAATCTCCACAGGATACATTGTTATTAGGAGTAGACTGGTGTAGAAAAATCAAAATGAACCTTGATTTTAGTACACAAACTGCTTCTATCTCATATGTTACTAAAAAAGCTACATTTAACATTTTTTTTAAAGAAGGAATAGTAGACGAAAGGGAAAACTTAGATCAAGTCTTGGATGAATATGAGAAAGAGAACCTGGATGAATATTATATATTCTTAAGCGAAGTTTAAAATAATATCCAACCAAAATATGTAATGAATATTATATATGACCATCAGGATATTATGATATCACAAAGAATTAATCCACGAAAAGAAATGTATAAAATGTGGCAAGTCCCAGACAAAAAAGTGGAACCTAATGAAATATCACTTCAAGTAGTATTGAGAAAAATACATGAAGAAACAGGCATCCCAATTAAATCTGAAGATGTAGAGTATCTTTTTAATGATGACTTTTATGACTGGTATGTATATATTACTAGAATTGCACCAAATTGGATCTTTGAACAAACTGAACCAGGAAAGCAAGGAAAATAGTAGCTATTTTGTTTTGAAGAATATGCAGATATGGCAAAACAAGGAGAAACAATCCCTACTCATACCAAATATGCAGACAGAATTCTAGAAGAAATTCGTACAAGGATGCATAAAAATAAATATCCAAGCATATATCTAGTTGACCTACCAAAGGAAGAGCAAGAAAAACCTAAGCTACAAGTTGGACCATTAAATGCTTATTAACAGAATAACTTTCAACAAGCTTTTGAAGAAAATAGTGATTTATGTGTTGGGAGTCAAACGGATACAAGACGAACAGCCATCATCAAACATTCAATAATCTTAGAAAAAGACACACTAATTGCACAAACAGCATATAGATGCAGTTCAGATAACCAACAATTTCTGCGTTAAGAAATTGAAGATATGGAAATGAAAGGAATCATTAGAAAATCAAAGAGTCCATAGGCCTCACCAGTTATAATTGTAGCAAAGAAACAGGAGATAAAAGGATATGTGTTAATTACAGAAAATTGAATGCAGTCACAAAGAAGGATGCTTACTCTTATCTAGGATTGATGATATGCTAAAATCGTTCAGAATAGCAAATTGGTTCACTACGTTAGATTTAACTAGTGGCTACTGGCAAGTTGAAATGAAAGAAAGGATAAGGAAAAGACTGCCTTTATTACTAATTTTGGGTTATATGAATTTAATGTAATGCCTTTTAGATTATGTAATGCTTTAGGAACCTTTCAAAGACTCATGAATTATGTTCTACAACCATATGCAGCTAAATTTGTCTCAGTATATTTTGACAATATCATAATTTATTCAAAATCTTTTGAATAATATATTGATCATATTAAACAAGTCTTTCAAGCATTGAGAGAAGCTAATTTAAAGATTAAGTTAAAGAAATGTAGTTTTTGTATGCCTAACTTAACATTCTTAGGACATATAGTTGAAAGAGACGGTATTCAACCAAATCCATCCAAAATTGAAAAAGTAAAAGATTTACCAATATCAAAAGATGTATCTCAAGTTCGATCAGCTCTAGGATTATTTTCGTATAATAGAAAATTTATTAAAGATTTCTCATGAATTGCAAAACTTATTAATATATTACTAAAGAAAGACCAAATATTTGAATGGATTGAAAAGCAACAAAATGCATTTAATCGCTTAAAGAATTGTTTGATTAATGCACCAATCCTACAATATCCAAATTTTGATGAAACTTTCTATTTATATACTGACCCATCAGGAATAGGTTTGAGAGCTGTATTAGCACAAAAAGATAAGAAGGAAAGAGAACACCCCATCGCTTATGCAAGTAGAAGCTTAATCCCAGCAGAAAAGAACTATTTAGTTACAGACCAAGAATGTTTAGCGATAGTATAGGCTATTTAACATTTCATTATTACCTATGCACTGCTAAATTTGAATTAATCACAGACCATTCAGCACTAAAATGGTTACAAATATCCAAAATACCAAAAGGACGACGTGCTAGATGGATAATAGAATTACAACCCTACAATTACACTATTCAGCATAGATTAGGAAAGCACAATGCAAATGCTGATGTCCTGTCAAGAATTAATAATGAACAATCTAAAAAAAAAGATATTTGTAAAATTTTTATGGTATCTATTTGTGATGAAGAACCTGAAATTGAATGGCATTCTTCAACAAAAGAAAGTTCAACACCTTACCCTAATGAATTATGATTTGAGAAACAATTATATTAACAATTTGCAAATGAACCATTAATTACAGCTGTTGAATATCAATCGCCTAAGAATAGACTGGAAGATATCTATCATGAATATATTAAAATTAAACAAGTTATTGCTGGACAACCTATTATGAAAGGAGGGTCTCAATGTACTTTTAATTGCAATATTAAGAACCATCATATCCATACCTATTGCAAAGCCTGTAAAAAGAATCTACCTTATGGGACAATTATTCATAATTGTATTGTAGGATATGGATTAGAACAAATACAACCTGATATAAATCCTAATTATCTTTGTAATGACGTGTTTTGGGAAGAACCACTAGCAGTATAACAATAAA